CCCTTCAGATGGAGTCGCATGGAGGTGGAAGGGGAGAAGAGGCCCTTGGTGGTCCCCAGGATAGCATGACCACTAATAGGTTTCCCATGGACCCACACAGAAGCGAGGAGCCAGAACAGCTGAAAAAAAGGGAGCAATTCAGAGGCCGGTGAGTCATCGCAAGGAACCAGCGCAGGGCCCATCCCATGGCAAGTGTTTGGAGCATGGGCAGTGGGCGAGACGGGAACACCAGGAGAACACTGGGACACAGCAAGGACAGCCGACCTGCCCCCCAATTAGCACAGGACCACTCAGAGGAGAATGGTCAGGAATGCAGAATTGCATGGGGTGCAGTTTGATGAAAAAATTCAGGCCCAGATCAGAGATTCTACAGAACACAGTTCAACGGGTTCTCTGAAGAGCCAGAAATACCTATAAGATCAACTATTAAACCCTGAGCTGCATAAAAAGCCTTCCCTAGGGAAACAGCAGCAAAGTACCAATTTAACCACACAACTCAAGTACTGGTTCCCACAGGAAGAGCCCCTGTGTCAGAAGCAAAGGAGAAAAAATTAGTTCCAGCCCAGGCACACCACCAGCACCTTGGGGCCTGCCTGGGAACAGGAACCTTGGATCCAGGGACCAGACCCCACTCCCACTTCCAGGAAAACTGCCCCAGTGCCTCGGGGCCAGCCCAGGGTCCCAAGGCACGGAAAAGGGGACTGGACCATTCCCCCACAACCAGGCACACTGCACCAGCACCTCGGGGCCCACCCAGGGACCCAGGGCATGGAGCGGAGACCAGACCACCCTCCCACAACCAGGCACAACATGCCAGCACCTCGGAGCCCACCCAGGGACCAAGGGCATGCAGAAGGGGACCAGATCACTCTCCTACAACCAGGCACAACATGCCACCACCTCAGAGCCCCCCCAGGAACCCAAGGCATGGAGAAGGGGACTGGACCTCTCTCCCACAACCAGGCACACTGCACCAGCACCTCAGGGCCCACCTGGGGACCCGAGGCATGGAGAAGGGAACCGGACCTCTCTCCCACAACCAGGCACACCGCACCAGCACCACAGGGCCCACCCAGGGACCTGAGGTATGGAGAAGGGGACCAGATCCCCCTCCCACAGTCAGGCACACCAAGCCAGCGCCTTGAGTCCTGCCCAGTGACCCGAGGCATGGAGCCAGGAACCGGACCCTCCTCCCACAACAAGGCACACCATGCCAGCACCTCAGGGCCCACCCGTGGACCTGAGGCACGGAGAAGGGGACCGGATCCCCCTTCCACAACCAGGCACACCAATCCAACGCCTTGAGTCCTGCCCAGTGACCCGAGGCATGGAGCCAGGAACCAGACCCTCCTTCCACAACAAGACACACCATGCCAGCACCTCAGGGCCCACCTGGGGACCTGAGGCAAGGAGAAGGGGAACAGACCTCTCTCCCACAACCAGGCACACCAAGACAGTGCCTCAGGTCCTGCCCAGTGACCTGAGATATGGAGCCGGGGACCGGACCCTCCTCCCACACCAGGCACAAAACACCAGCACCTTGGGGCCCACCTGGGTACCTAAGGCATAGAGAAGGGGACCGGACCCTCCTCCCACAACCAGGCACATGGTGCCAGCACCTTCGGGCCTGCCCAGAGACCCGGGGCATGGAGAAGGGGACCAGATTTCCCTCCCTCAACCAGGCACACCACACCAGCACCTTGGGGCCTGCCCAGGGACCGGGGGCATGGAGAAGGGGACCAGATTTCCCTCCCTCAACCAGGCACACCACACCAGCACCTTGGGGCCTGCCCAGGGACCCAGGGCATGGAGAAGGTGACCGGAGCCCTCTCCCACAACCAGGCACATCAAGCCAGCTCCTTGGGTTTCACCCAGTGACCCGAGGCATGGAGAAGGGGACTGGCCACCGCTCCCACAACCAGGCACATGGCACCAGTGCCTTGGGGCCTGCCCAGGGACCGGAGGCATGGAGAAGGGGACCAAATACACCCCACAACCAGGCATACTGCCAGTGCCAAGGAGCATACCAAAAACAGCACCTCCACGTGGGTGGCCCACCAAAGCCACCACAATAACCACAGCTGCCGCAAAAGTGGATAGATGCCACAGCCACCATGCAGATGGTCCACCAACCACTGGAGTGCATTCACACAAGAAGAGTCACCAGCAGAGACAAAGAAAAGAAGAGGATGTCTCCTTCCACAAAACGCATTTCAGAGTGACAGAAGAAGCATCTGCTTTATGATAATATTGGGGGACCTGATTACAGCCCTCAGCATTGGACAGATCATCTAGGCAACAAATTAACAGAGTAACCATTATTCTTTCAGAAGGAGAGAAGAAAACTAGGGCAATTAGAAGGGGGAGGGGGAGAGAATGGGGGAAGGGAAGAGATTGGACAAGGGGGATAAAGAATAATTATGACTTATAATAATATATATGCTAGTAATATTGATTTAATCAACATATCTCAATGTTCAACCCCAAAAATATGTATAATCGATTTTGATTCAATAAAAAAAATAAATTTTAAAAAATAAAATAAATAAATAAATAAATACATTCTGGACCAAAATAATAATAACATTTAATGTTATTGTTGATACAGTTGGATTTATGTCTGCCATTTTACTGTTTGTTTTGTATATGCCTCATTTTTTTTGTTCTTATATTCCTCTTTTACAGTTTTACTTGTATTAAGTGATATTTTCTAATGTAGCCCTTTTATTTCTTTAATGATTTCTTTCATTACATGTTTTTAGTTACTCCTTAGTGGTTGCTTTAAGGCTTACCATATACACCTTAATTTATCAGAATCAGCTGCAAATTTATACTAACTTAATTCTACTGAGATATAGAAATGTTACTCCTATTTCCTTTTCTCCTTATTATATTGTTATACATATCACACCAATAAATGTTATAAACCCATGTTACATTCTTATAATGTAAATGTAATGAACTATACAACAACAAAAAAATTGACACAGTTAAATGTACCATTCACTCTCAGCAGATTGCAACGTTTTACTAGAAAAATAAATTAAAGTAGCAAATGTGATTTGCTAAATTAGATTTATCTCAGCCCAAAAGTACCCAACAGGCACTAGGCAAATTTTAAGAAATCTGATTTAACAAAAGTGCCAAACACAGATTAAGTACTTAAATTGATTTTTTGGCACACCAACCCTACGATAGATATGTGACCATGTATCTTGATGTGATAAGTACTACAGAAGACCAGTAGGGCCTATGATCTCTCTCCTAAAAACAGACAAGTAACAAAAGCAATATTTAATGATCAGCTAATTCCTATGCCTAAGGCTTTAATTCAATCAAAAATGCTCTTTTATTTTTAGTTTAAATAGTTGACTGATTTTTGTTGTTTAACACAGATATGTCCACAGGAATTCCCCCCCAAAAAGTGAGCTATACCCCCAAAAAGTAACACCAACCAACTCTACATTGGTTAATGTGATAACGTCAAAGAATGTTATAATGTCATTGGCCAAATGGCTTTACTAGTATTATAGTACTTTTAGTCTAAATTATTACAACCACATACTATTTTTGACTTGAAATAAAATTTTTTTCCTCAATAAGACTCAAATAGTTCTCTGTAAATTCAAATTCTTCAAATGAACTCAAACTTTGATCCTCTTTACTAATGTTTTAACATAAGTTCAATAACAAGATTCGGTTTGGTACATTTACTAAAATCAAGATGAGTTACTCTGGATGGGACTCCTATCTTAATTTGTCAAAGCACTTACACCTTGTTTCTGTTTATAACAAAAAGTAAAAACATAACTAACAAAATGATAGATGCTGATATATAACATCAACAAAAAGGAAAAGAAAATGTAGTGAAAATAAATAAATGTGTAAAAATACAATTTCTGCAAATTTGTATAATACGTAATGTTATCATCATGGGATTTCTAAAATAATTTTAAAAACTAAATTATATCACAGAGAAAACTCTATAGAGGTAAAGATATCACTTAAGAATAAAACAATGCTTTTTATTTTATATTTTGAGTGGGCTTTTACTACCATCTAGTGTTATACCTTAAGAAATACTTTCTTATAAAAATTAAAAGCTGCAAAAGACACTTTATATCACTCAAACATTACTAGAAAATTTAATTGCAAAGAAAAAATCACAATACAGAAAATTGTTATTTTTTAAAAAAGTTGTTCTATATAAGAAAACTGTTTTCATGACTCTTAAAATTTTTGTTACTCTAAATTCTATACAATAATATTCTACATCAAATCCTTACCAGGGCTTCCAAATATGCACCCAGCTTGCTTCAAAAAACAAGCTAGTTGACACAGATTCAGTTTCTAAATGTAACTAATATACTCAGAAAGCAAGATAATTAGTATAAAATGATTATCAATGCTCTCTCTAAGCAACAGGTCTATGAAAGAATTTTCTCTTTACCTGATGTCTTATGTTCCATGCTAGCATTTTAGATCCCATAAAGAGGAGAGTAGGGCTAGCGTCCTTCTCCTTAAAACCATATTGTTTGCTACCTATGTCATCCTTCAACTTACCAAGTACCAAATCATGTAGCGAAATAAACCCAAAGTATAAAAAATACCATGAGGTTGAAAAAGAAAACGATGAAGTAATGGAAACATATTCCCTTAGAATATTTTACTATGCTAAAATTATCTTCTCAGTATATGGAATCTAGAGATGATGAAGATGATTTAAGCTGCTCCTAGTGAATTAACAATTCGGAAATCCTCTGATATTTATTACAGCAAGGTTTTTCCTATAGCTTTTTAATCACAATATTATGATTCAAATTTTATGGCATTAATCATGCTGCTTTTTAAAAAATGACAGAAATATTGTGCTCATGATATATACAAACAGATTATGGATCATACTTTTTCAATCTTTCCCTTATACATAGAAATAATAACCAACTTTTGAAACTGAATGTCATAAATTCTTAAATTGTATCATATCTACAATTACTCACTTGAAATGACCTTTCCATTGTTATTGCAAAGTAGTATTCTCTCCTGGGATATTTTCGCTCACAGACCAATACTTGATTGCATATTCTGCCCTTTTCTCCCGTTTGCTTGGTAAACAACTTTTTCCCAATCATTTGTGAGGAAACAGCTTTTGCTTCTTCTGGACTAAAATAATAAAAAGAACTCAAATTCTTCTCTCCTCCAATTAAGAAAAACAAATCCACATGACAGCCAAAATCTTACCTCTTCCAATATTAAATCTCAGTATTTTCATCAATTCAATAATCAATCTTTAATAATGATGATTTTTCTTTAAAAAAAAATGACTTACGAGAAAACTATCTTCACTCCTCCTTTGAGGCCACTTTCAAATGTCCCTTTTCCTCTACCACCAGCTAAAACCTGTGCCTTTATCACAACATCTTTTGAACCTAGAAGAAAAACACTTCTATTAGATATGAAACATGGAGCAGCATGTAATACACGATATTTTGTTATTTAGCATACATACTAAGAAGTGTTATTAAATAAAGTCTTGTTTTATTCACAATGTGAAAAAATACAGCATTCCATGTATGAGATTTTCTAGATTAAAACAATAGAACATTCATCATCTAAGATCCACAACTTAAAAAAATTAGCCACTCATATTAATCCATTTCTTAAAGTATACTGAAAATAATTTAACTATTCCTTGACACTTTAAATACTGAGCACTTTGGAAGGTATTTAATGTACAAAATTGAGACTCAAATATCTTCCTCACACTTCCCTCCCTCTCTATTCGCACGTAAACTTGCTATCCTGTGAAAACTTGGGTTATAAATGCTACTTTGAACAGGAACATGCCTTGGCTTGGGAGATATTACCAATACTAGCATTGATATGACTTATGTATCCCACTAACAGAAAGTCCTGTTAATATACATCATTGAGCAGTACTAAGGAGTATTATCAGGAGTTATTAAGGTTTGTGTATAAAAAGATTCCAGAATGATATGTTTATAAGTCTTATGCATATCTTTTAAATAAGCAGTCTAAATTTTTCCTCTTTAACAGGTAGACTGACCACTATCTCTTTTCTTTTTTTTTTTTAAAGATGACCAGTAAGGGGATCTTAACCCTTGACTTGGTGTTGTCAGCACCACGCTCACCCAGTGAGCCAACCGGCCATCCCTATATGGGATCCGAACCCACAGCCTTGGTGTTATCAGCACCGCACTCTCCCGAGTGAGCCACGGGCCGGCCCGACCACTATCTCTTTTCCTCCCCTTTCTAATTTGCTGTAGAGAACCAGCAAACTGGCTGTGTAGCCTAGATTTTTCTCATTGTTCATGATCAAGGCAATACATCTTCAAAAGGCATTCTGTCTGCCAGACAGGCAAAATTTCAGAGCTTCCTCATTTTGCTTCTCATAGCATTTTCCCCATTCTGTTAATACAGCACCAATTACAACAAAATAATTAACCTCTGATGTCATGGTTAAGGGCCTTGTCTTATTTATTATATCCCAAGCACAAAGTAGTCTCTGGGGCATAATAACTACTCTATAAACATGTATCTGAACAGGCTTACAATGGGCAAAAGACATTGCCTAATGCACAGACCAAGCAGAAAGAGAGGGGACTCCCACCTAATCACAGGAACAACCAAATAGTGAGGTAACAAATGCAGTCTGTGATCCAACAAATAAGAAACAACCTAAAGTCTACACTTAATCTATTATCACAAAAGAATGTTTAGAAAATGAATGTTGTAAATTAGCCTACATCATAAATGCTTACCACTTAAGTTAGGAGATCGATCCTATGAGTCAGTCAAGGTCATATTTTTTTAAAAACTGCTCTCTCATACCCTACATCCATTCAGTCAGAAAATCATACTGGTTCTATCTTCGAAATTTTTCCAGAATCTTGACCACTCCTATCACCTCCAGTTTGGACCGTGGTCCCCGCCATCATTACCTATCACCGAGACTACCCTTGTCCCCCACAGAATACTCTCAGTGCAGCAGCCAAAGTGAGCATATCACTCCTCTAATTAAAACCTTGTACCAAATGCCCATTTCATTCAGACTAAAAGCCAAAGTCCTTACAATGGCCTACAAGGCCCAAAATAATACTAACTCTTACTTCCTATGCCCTCCTCATTGCCCACTCCACTTCAGCTACACTAGTCTCCTCGCTGCCCCTGGACACATTCCTGCCTTCAGGACGTGGCTGGAATCTCTTCATCCAGGTGTCCACTTCGGAAAGGGCCTCACTCCCACCAAGTCTCCTTTTAAACCACCCTACTTAATATTACACCCTGTCTACCTGTGACCAATCCCCCTTCCCTGTTGTACATTTTTTCCCCATTGAATTCATCACCTTCTGACATAATATATAATTATCTCACGTATAATCATTTGGTTTTTTTCTTCCCCACTAGAATATAGGCTCCAGGAAGACAACATTTTTCTTGTATCCACTGATGTTTATAAGCTCCTGGGAGGGTTCCTAGCCCATTATTTGGCTCAATGTTGAAAAAAGGAACATTTTAAAAAGGACAGAATTCTTATTAAATCTAGATTTTCCGCTGCTCCTGAAAAAACTCAGAACTGTAAATATTGGGCCCACAGTCCTATGACTAGAGCTAATTAGAAGTGTCTTGTTTAGACAAGATAGACCCTTTTCAATTTGCCAGTCTCCACCATTCACAAGTGTATCACAACTAACATTACGTGAAGATTAGAGACAACTTAGACATTTCCTTAAAATCAACAATAACTTTCCTATTGAGAAGACAACAGGTAGTCTGAGGGACTATGGCAAATTTGAAAGTTCATTCCCAGACTAAAAGAATCAGCCACTATTTATTCTGTTTCTGGTTACCTGCCAAGTCCTGTTTTTCCAGTACTTTAGAAATATTCAATTATATCCAAAGAAGATAACTATAATACAAGCACTGCAAACGTAATGTTAAAAATAGTCAAGAGTTAAACTGGTGCTTTTCTGGGCTAAATTCAACCATTCCTATTCATTAAACTAGGAACTTAACATAGTGACTTATTAAGAAAGAGTAATAATAAAGCTCTTTTTTCAAAAACATTTTACAAGACAAAAGGCTCTTCCTCTGGTAAGTTAGCTCAGTTGGTTAGAGTGTGGTGTTGTTACACCAAGGTCAAGGGTTCAGATCCCGTATCAGCCAGCCACCAAAAAAAAAAAAGAAGGCTCTTTCCCCAAAGTGTCCATTTCCTTTCTTTAGGAATATAAGTATCATCAACTATCAAGAAGGGGAGAAGGATTAAAAGATAAGTCTGAGAACAACTGATTGAAACAAATATTTTATTCAATTCCATTAATTCATTTAATAGATTCATCTACACACCAGACACTGTGCTGGAGCTATAGATATAACAATGAGCAAAAGAGACCTATAGACCATAGAGCTTACAGTCTGATTAGATTTGGCACTTTGCTTTGGCTAGACAAGATCTTTTTGGGATCCCAACATTGTCTTTAAAATATATCCATTATCCCTCACAAATGATTTAAGTATTCCTTGTTTATATTCAACTAAATAATAAAATATTAAAAAGAAGAAAAAAGAAAGAAAAGTCCTATTGGACACCATTAGAAATCTCCCTCCAGACTGACACTCATTAATCAGCACCCTCTGCATATATTTATTTAAGCAGATAGGGAATTCACCTTAATTACACTAGAATCCAAACTATCTTTCTACAGTCAATATGTAAATCATAAAAACTGCCAAGTGTTTTACTGAAATCATGTAAGGGTACTTCAAAAAGTTCATGGAAAGATTCATGTCTCTTTTTTTGGCAACTGGCTGGTACAGGGATCTGAACCCCTGACCTTGGTATTATCAACACCATGCTCTAACCAACTGGGCTAACCAGCCAGCCCCTCATATTATCTTTTAATTCTATTTTTCCATGAACTTTTTGAAGCACACTTGTACTCCCTTGAACTAGTAACTGTAAGAAAGAGATGGTAATTTGCACTGAGAACTGACCCCAAATTATAATTACTTCATTTCTCTGTGCTTAATCGTCCCTTTGATTATCCATTCCAAAAACTTCTCCAAGATCTTCAAGCTCATCAACCATCATTTTGCAGACCCACACAGTCTTTAAAAATATTAGAATTAGATTTCTTTCCAACTATTCTTTCATTACTAACCTCAATTATCTGCAACAGGTAACACTTGCCTCCTGGACAATATTCCACAACTTTTTTTCACATCATAACACACATAAAAAATGATAGAATCTGTAGGGAATACTGGGGAAAGAGGTCAGGGCTATTTCAGGAGGAGTCACCAGCTGTAGGAGTCAGTGGCCCCAGATCCCATGCTAATTCAGCTTTTCCTGCCACCCACAGGACTAAGGGGAAGCAATAGTTTGGCAGACCTGTAATGCATTTATGTCCTACCATATCATTTGGTTAGCAGAGCGGTAAGAGTTTTTAAGAAATGAGAATTAGCATCTTGTGAATTTTGCAGTAACTCAAGAAGCAAGAAGCACCCTGAAGTAGCCAAAAATCAGTACTGGGAATTGCTAGCAAGTGTATTTCGAAGGCACTTCATACCACACTTTGTGCAATTAGATCTCATAATCAGTATCTCTGGATACTAATGAACACCAAAAACACAAAATTGCCCTCGAAGTCTTCATTGTAGTTACTACATTTTTTTTTTTAATTAGCATCTCTGCTCCTCTAGATTTAAAGGTACTTTTGCTTACTAATCCCACTTCTAAACTACACTCATAACTTGCAGTATTCTTTGACAAGAACACTTTTTGGATGAACAAGATATCCTCTTTTCTAAGGGGCTCAAAATCAGCCTACCTGCTCCTTACTACTTGCAAGTCCTGGTCCCAGAGAACTTGCCAGAAATTTGCATAGTTTATCCTGCATATATTAACTGTTCTTTCTTCTGTTCCTAAAAATCATTACATTAAAGGTTTTTATAGGGAGTGAAGAAATCAAAAGAGATTGGCATCAGAATAAATTTCACTCATTTTATGAAAGAGTTTCCATACAAATTATGTTTCCTGACAAAACATAAAACTTGATTAAATGAAAAAATATATGAAAAACTAGTTGAAGAAAACCAATTATAATAATTTCAAAACAGGGAAAAGAAAATTTCCACTAACTTCATTACATATATATCAAGCCCTATTAACATTAACCATGCACAAATTCAAACTACAGGTCACCATTAATTAACAAAAATTTCACTGAAATTAGTATGAACTTACATAAGACATTTGCTGAATAAAAAGAATGTGAATAAAAGTAATTTTTTTTGATTAACAACAAAAACAAAAAAATCTGTAAAAGAAAAACCAAGCTTCCAGTCAAGAAAATCACGGCCATCTCATTCAAAAATATAGCTTACATGACAATTTTCTGAAATTGTACATAGCCTTACTTCCAAAAGAAAAACGATCCATTCTAGAAACATCTAAGTACAACGCAAGATAAAAACTTTTAAAATTTAAACATTTTCGAACATGCCATATAGTTCTTGAAAAACTAATAAAAGCAAAGTCTTCAAAGTATATGTAAAGCCATACTAATCAAATGTACATACAAGAGAAGATTAATTGTGCTGATCTACGTAAAATTGGTGAGATTTAAAATACTGCTAAAAAGAAAATCCACTGTATAGCCAGTACATTATCTCATTATTATGTTCTCAGGTTAAATCTTTAAAAATGTACACATATTTTCTAAAATCAAAAATTATTTTTTTAATTAAGAGATTAATATAAATTCAAATTAACAAAAACGATTAAGGCTTCTGCTATCAATAAAATAATCTACCAATAAACATGGGCAACTACTTACTTCATTTAACAAATATTAATATTTATTACCTAAGTGTCAGGCACTCTTCTAAGATTTGGGGATATATCAGTGAATAAATAAGACAAACCCTGCTCTCATGGAGCTTACATTCTAGTGCACAACTTCTTTTCTTTCCTCTTTGGTTCCATATTTTTCATGTCAAGAAAAAAAAAAAGAGGGGGAGAAGGATTGGATTTCTCTTTACTACCATATAAAGTGTTAAGATTTTCCTTCACCATGTCCCTGAAGAATCATCACAACCACCATCCTTTAAACTACATAGTAGTAAACAGAATTTCCTTCCTCATAATTATATTCCAACTAAAAACAGGACTTCAGCTTCCTAATGGCAATATAAGTAATTCCTAAGTCACTAGCACTATGGGAGCTCATAATCAACTCATAAAAACTTTAGAATTTCAATAATCATCAAGTTCTGCCTTCTCATTTAAGCAAATAAAATTTATTTTTGAAAAAATAACAGCTAGGGCTGGCCACTTAGCTCAGTTGGTTAGAAGGCGGTACTGATAATACCGGGGTCCAGGGTTTAATTCCTGTACTGGCCAGGTGCCTCCAAAAACAAAAAAACAAAAAAAAAGCTAAAAGTTGTCATCAAACCAAAAGTAAAGTTCACATCTTATCAGAGCTCCCAAGTCAAGGTGGCATAAATTTTTCTTAATTTAGTACCTAATTTTTTGGCAATTGCATAAGCTTCATCTGGTGACCTTGCCACGTATCCTTTGGGAATAGAGACGCCAGCTTCTTGCAACAAGTCCATACTCATGTATTCATGCAGTGAGAGATTTCTTTGCTGTTGCTGCTGTACTTGGAGTCCATGGTTATTAAACAATCCAGAACTTCCCAGAACCTAGAGAAATCGGGGACATATTTATATATGACAGTGCCTTGGCAGTTATTCTTGTTAAAAACACCTTCTCGAAATACTTTGTTTATATAGAGTACTTGGTTCTTCAAAACTATAACAAAACTGTTCTGTTAAATCATCAAAGTGTAATATTCAGAGTACCTGAATTACAGCATAAAACTAAAAGCTAATTTACTAGCTAAATATCAAATGTTACTGTTGTAGTTTTAACTATTTCCTCATCATCTCTAGTCCTTATCTTACATTTGAGCTCTACTACCATATCTCCAATGACTCACAGGCCACTTCTACTTTAATGCCAACTTCAGCAGATTTAAAACCAATCTCATCTTCTCCACCAAAAATCCTTCCCAACCTTCTCATCTCTACTATTCTTCCAGTACCTAACAAATCACTTGGCATTAGATATGTGATAATCAAATGATTTAGGAACTCTTTCATACACTCAAGACTCAAAACCCTGGCTTCATCTGTAGTGAATGTGGCAGTGTGGTGCCCAGATCCCTTCTTCAGGACCAAGGCATTCACAGCCCCAGCAGCTGGTAGTGCTAGCTGCCAACAGCTCTCAGCTGAGTCCCCTTACTAGAGCCTCCTTGCCCAAAGTCACACCTCCTTCCTGTTGGCAGCCTGCACCCAAATGACTGGTCAGTGGGGAGAGGGGAAGGGATATAAAGACTTGGCACCTCATTCCAATTTGGGACAATTCAGAAGGGCCATCCTAGTTCCAGATCTCATTCAAATTGCAAGTCTCTGATGCAACCACATCACAGGTCTTTTCCCTCCACTCAATTCTCCTGCCTTCACTCCATTCACTCTTCTTCACTCTCACAGGCATTGACCCAGAGATCACTTTCCAGTAAATTTCTTCCACATAACTCTCCATCTCACAGTCTGCAAATCTCATCTCAGAGAACTGACCTGCAACATCATTTTTAATACATTCCTTCTAAATGATTCCCTTAACTGGTACCTCCTTTACAAACCCAGTCCAAGGGCTTGTCCTTCACAACTGGACTGCAAAAGCTTCCAAGAAACCACTGCCAACTACAAACTCTTCTTTCCAATCTATATAGAATATTCATTCAATCAATCAAATACTTATTGAGCAGCTAGGCACTGGAAATATGGCAGTGAGCCCAACAAAATAACCCTACCACCTAAAGCTCACATTCTAGTATGCATTTGTATGGGAATAGAAGTGGGGGACAGACAATAAGTAAACATAACATTCCAGATGATGGTAAGAAAGAGTAAAAGATAGAAAAGGGTGAGATTGCTATTTTATACAGTAGAACAGAAAACTAAAATGTCCCTGAGTAGAGCTAAGTCAGAATTACTCTTTCTAAAAGAAATAAATAGGAAACAGAAATAAGATATACCTATGCCAGCTTATAACTCATTGTTGAAAAAGAAAAGAGTATAGGGCTGCCTTTCAGCTTCCTTCAGCAGGGCCACAACAATGAGAAGAATTAAAAAAGGGTGCATATTCAGTAAAATCTCTAGCATCTATTGATCCCAAAGCCTCCACCACTGAAGTCAGAGCCTCATCACAATCCATCATAACATGGAGAAATGCCTGCCTCCCTTTTTCAAACTCCTCAATCCTATCAACTTTACAAGACAATAGGAAGAACAAATTAAGTGCTATGAAAGTCTTGGAAAACTGCATTGAAATAACACATTTTAGCATTATCTATTATCTGCACACAGAATGCAGTAGACTGAAACATGGTTTATATGAAACACACAATGTAAGAATTGAGTTTAAAGGGGTCCTATATAAATGATTTGTTCCTTAAAGTGGGTTAATGAGCTTTTGCATCAAAATTACCTGGTATTCTTCTAAAAATGCAGATTCCTGGGCCCCATTCTGATCTACAAATTCAGTCTCTGGACTGGGACCAAGGAAATCTGCATTTGTAACAAGTCACTCAGTTAATTCTCAAGGACCCTACAGTTTGAGAACTACTAGTCTAACAAGTCAATCAAATATAATAGCAACTTATTTCTGATTGCTGTAGTAAGCTAAAATCCTAGATAACATCTCACCTGGGGAGATCAATTCCTTGACTTAGTGTCACTTCAATATTGAAAGCCAGCAAACCTCCCAAACTGTTTGGTATACACCTACCATATCCCATTCCTGGGTATATATCAACAAAAATGAGTCTTTACAAGAAGGCATATATAAGAATGTCCATAGCCGGCTTATTCATAACAGACAAAAAATGGAAATGACCCAACTGCCTATCAATAGGAGAATGGATAAATTGTGGTATATTCATATAACAGGATACTACAGAGCAATAAAAAACAAACAAAAAACCAAAAAACTATTGCTCACACATGAATGGATTAATCTCACAAACATAATGTCAAAGGAAAGAAGCCAGACACAACAATACACACTTATATGATTTCTTTCTATATAGTTCAAAACCAGTCAAAATTATCCTATGGTGATAGAAATCTGAACTAGTGGTTACCTTCTAACAGGGAATATCAATAAAGACATGGGAACCTTCTGAGAGCTGAAAATTGTATATCTTGATCTGGATGGTGATTACACAGGTATATACATACATAAAAATTAATCTAGCTATCCACTTAAGTTGTGCACTTTACTGTACTTAAATTACATCTCAAAATAATAAAAATAAGGAGGGAAACTACCTAGCATAAGCCTGGCAAACAGAGTCATACACTAAACAGTATGCAAGGGACACTAAAAGAATAAAGCCAACTTGGTCACAGCCACAGAGTTCACAGACATGTAATAAACAACTGCAATACATATGTGAGCACTAGGTCAATAGCATATCAGTCACTACGTGAATCCTAATTAGCTGGATGGATCAGAAAAAATACTATAGAGGCCCAATTCCATTTTTTGAAAAAACCTAACAATGATAAAGGACACTTTGAAGATGACAGGGGAAATTTGAATCTGAACTATATATTAGATATCCATTTTATATCAGTGTTGGATATCCTAAATATGACATAATAATATTGTGGTTATTTTGGAGAATATCCTGTTCGTAAAGACATACGCTGAAATATCTAGGGATGAAGTGCCACAATGCCTTCAACTCACTCTCAAATGGTTCAGCAAAAATAAATGTGTGTGATTTCAATACACACATTCAAATGTATATAAATATATGTGCATATGCATATAATTTTTTTAAGATAAAGCAAATGTGGCAAAATGTTAAATTTAGGTGAAGGTAATACAGGTGCTCATTGTACTATTATTAGAACATTTTTATCAGTTTGGGATTTTTCAAAAAAAGTTGAAAATATAAATTTTTTTTAAAAAGAGAGAAAGATATAGAGAGTAGAATAGTAGTTATCAGATGCAAGGAAAGGTAGGAACAGGAACAGGATGGTAGAACAGTATGAAGTTACAAAGTTACAGTTAAATAGGAAGAATAAATTCTGGTACTCTAGGGTAACAATACCTAATAACATTGTATTGTATATTTCAAGATAGCCAGAAAAGAGAATCTTGAATGTTATAACCACAAAGAAATGATAAATGTTTTGGTGATAGATATGCTAACTATTCTGATTGGATCATTACATAATATATGCATGTATTGAAATAACAAACTGTGCCCCATAAGCATGTACAATGAAAAAAATATAATTGAGGATAAACAAACCCATGATGCAAAACTCTTATGTATATTTTTATGGTTTCTTTCCAATGTCTCTACTAACAATGAATTAATACTCATAAGGGATTGCTGACAGCTTTTATGCTACTTTAAAAGATTCTTAATGTCTTAAGCACTTTGATAATTCTTTCCTCACACCACTAGAAGTTGTAACTTAAAATATCAGCTTTGAATTATGCTGGTAATACAAATTCCTGCATAATCATACGGACTCCCACATTTAAGTATTTATCTTGATACTGTCACTTAGATGATTCCTACTACCAACCGGCTACCAATTCCTAGCCAAATCTTACCACCGCCACCCACCCAACCATACACCTAGTTTAAATAATAGTTATTCAAAGTGGAAAAATGTAGTCACTGGGGAATGTGATTTGCAACAACCAAGAAAATATCTTAATTATTTAATCTACTCATAACCTAAACTGTTTTCATCAAAGCTACAATAATAGAAGACACCAAGAAATTGGAAGCAAGTAAGAGAACTAAATGTAGTCTTGAAGAGAATTTGCTAACCTCAATGTGTGATCTTGACAAGCTTCCTACGACTCTGCACCTCTGCGTCCTCATCTTCAAAAGCGAGGGGTTAGACTAAGGTCCTTCCAAACTCTAAAGCTTTAATTCTTAATGCCAAGGTGGAAGAGGGGAGAAGTAGTTATAAAGACAATCTATTAGGCATTTCCATATGGAGAAACAAAGGCTTTTCAAGGAATTTCCAAAAGGATAAATAAAGATTATGATTAGAATGAAAACATATTTGTTCACCAAATCCTCATTTTCTAAAAACTAGACAGCAACCTTTAAGACTCATAACGTTCAAGGCCAAAAAGTAACTTCTATAAGGAAGCAAACTCATGAAACTCACTACCCCTAGGCTGAAAGTATGAATAGCTTTAAAAAAGAAAGAAAAAAAAAATGCCTAAATCAATTCATATATGGCATGACTGAGGAGTTACTTCGGAAAATAACCTACAACTCCGGAACTGACCTAGGAGGCAAATGACGCCCTTCCACAGTTTCTTGGTGTCAACTTTGGAAAGAACAGGCCAATTCTTATGTTCTTGAAGTCGTGGAGCAGACTCAAGCACACAGGCTTTGGAAGAGAACGGCGCTGTAATTAAACGTCAGCTCTGGCCTTACCTGACCTAGTCCAAATTACCTGCTCTCTTAGCCAGAGTATCTCCATTACTGATGCGCCTATTAATGATTCCCTCACTGAGCTGCTGAAAAGCCTAATGGAAGACTGATTACGTGTAATAAACCAAAACAAAACTGGTTATCGTCTATCCAGAAATGAAGTGATCCAAACAAAGATGATTTTCTTACTTCCCCAAACGGTTCGCTGAAAAACATCACCTTATTCCCACTATTAACAAGCAGGACACAACACAACTACCTGGGAGAGGATGGAAACCTCCCGCCTCGCCCCAGAAAAGGCGAGTCAGATCTGAAATCATTCCCGCCTGTGACAGCTCCCCAGCAACACAAACGTACATTTGAAGGGCATTCCCCCTGCCCAAAGAGGGGCCGGGCAAGCCTCGGCCCACTGTGCCGGACGCGCGACTGGCAGCACCAATTGTCCTGACCCCCTCACGTCCACTTAGAGCCCACCCGCTCCCCGCAGTGTCTGAAGAGGGCAGCCGCGACCGGGCCTCCCCGCAGACCGAGGGCCGAGCAGAACGGCGTAAACATGGGCCCGCTCGCGGTCCCGGCAGGCAGCGCTCCAGGGCAAGCTGGCCGCGGGCCCCGCGGGCCACCCGGAAAATGTCACTGCCAGTCAAGTGACCCCGAGCCGGGCCGCGAGTCCCCTCACACCTCGCCCACAAAAGCCAGTTCTCCCACCTCGCCCTTCCTTCTGCCGACCCTCGAGCGGGCTAGACGGCAATACCTGGGCGGCGGCCCGCAGCGCAGTCCGGGGCCGGTGGCTCCGAAGGGTGGCCGCGACTAGCAGCCGACTGTACAACGCGGAGGCCGCCATTTCTGAGGCCGACCCCGTCCCCCCGGCGCCCCGCGCAGGCGCAGACACCCGAGGCGGCTGGCGGCTCAGCTGCTCCGGACGCGCTCGCTGCACCTCGCCCCACCCTCCGGGGGCGGGGCCTGGGGTTAACGCTGCAGCCGCCGGTCGGACTCCCTGGAGGGCAAAAGCGGGAACTGCCCACCTGAGTCAAAGCTAGAGTTGGCGGGCACAGAGCAAACTTTGACCTTTGGAACTGGGCTCTGCAGACTCAATGTCCGACCTGCTGCCAGAAGGCAACCTGAACGCTTCTAGCGAATTGCATCGAAAAGACGACCAGCGCCTCCACCTGTGTGATCTTGAACTTCTCCGAGCCACAGTTGCCTCATCTGTAAAATGCGGTTAATTCAGGAAATGATTATTCAGTGTCAGTTTTGTGCCAAACACTGCATTGTACCTTAGGATACAACAGCGAGAAAAACAGCACTTCCAACGCCCAAAGAGAGGACGGTCGACCACTAATTACCAAAGCTGATGGCACACTGGAAACACCAGGGAAGCTTTTTAAAATACTGTACCCAGGCCCCATCTGAGGGGTGTAGTCAGAACATCCGTATTTCTTAGAGCTCTCTACGTGAATCGGATGCATACAATGAGCATTAAAAATCCTGAGATGACGAGTGTCCCATAACAGAATTGACCACTGGACAAATGACTGGGCGCCTGTTCTGCTCTGAGCATCAACTTTTTAAACGTGTGGAAGCGATTTCAGCGAGCAGGATCTTAACCTAGGAATAGGTGGGCGTGGCTGACCAGCATTAGCCAGGCTCTGGCACCTATTTCTGATGCACAGTGGCACTTTTTATCTGGACTTTTTAGTTCCATTAGCACTAGTGGAAGACTGACCTCAAGGGTCCTTTCATCACTAATAAATATTCTGTGCAGTTAGAAACAGAGAAAAAGGGAAACTGACATCAGTAGTTCAGATGTCTCTTGCTCCGCCCTCCTACTGCCCATCATAGCCTATCAGATAAGATCTGGCTAAAAAGCAGAGGCCAGACCTACCGGTTTGGTTTAGGATCACATATCCTATCAGGTATGAACAGGATATATTGATTGTCAAGCCAGCTCTCTTTTTTAACCGATAATAAAGACAGTAGTTGAGCTACCATGAACAACAAACCAACTGAGCCCAAGACCAGGTATTTAAAGGACATGTGGATAATCCCAGAATAAGTCAATGTACTAAAATAAGGTGTAAGACTAAAGCCCTCTTAGGAGCTTACTTGGGTTATCTTTCATTCACACTCTTCAAGTCCTTGGCCACAGGTGATCCATTAAAGAAAACATCTCTACTGCTATGTCCATTGTGGTACTGGTTTTAAAAACACAGCAGCAGCCACAGAAATATGGAATAGGAGCACCAGTGATAAAAAGAAAGTGCAGATCCCTGAGTCCTGGCTCCTTTGGAAGCCTTTAAAGAAAGGGACAAAAGCTCACTCCTCCCTAGGCTCTCCCAGATTGTTTCAGAGCTCCATATCTCTTGATACTTCATTAAAAGAATTTAGTAAGGTAAAGTGATGATGGGCCTCCTACCTGCTAACCTTATGTCTTGAGGCAATCAGCCTTAAAAAGTGAAATTGCTTTATCCAGAAACTACTTTTTTCACAGCAGAAACTTCTGCAGTCTTTACAAGGATCTTGGAAACTGGTAGCAGGCAGTAAAAGATAGCAGAATGTGATATGCAGGATATATACTGAGGTTCTGAGGAGGAGTGATATGTGAGGAAGAAGGGAAAGAAAGACCTGTTGTCCTAGTACAATGTAATTCCTTTACTGCAGGAGAGTAAAGGTGGGAATGGTGGCTAGTATCAAAAAGACAGAAAATAACAAATGCTGACAAGGATGTGGAGAAAGGAGAATGCAAACATTGTTGGTGGGAATGTATATTAATATAGTCACTACAGAAAACAGTATTGAAATTTCTCAAACAACTACAGATAGAACTACCATACAATCCTGGGTATATACCCAAAGGAATGGAAACCAACAAGTCAAAGGGACACATACACTCCCATGTTTATCATGGCTCTTTTGACAATAGCCAAGAGTTGTAATGAATCTAAATGTCCTTCCACAGATGATTGGATAAAGAAAAAATGGTATATATACACAATGGAATATTACTCAGCCATGAAAAGGAATGAAATTCTGTCATTTGCCACAACACGGATGAGCTTAGAGAAAATTAAATAAGCCAGGCACAGAGAGAGAAATAACACATGTTCTCATTCATATTTAGAAGCTAAAAAAGCTGATCTCAAAGAAGGAGATAGTGGAATAGTGGTTACTAGAGATTTATCAGGGAAAGGAGAGAGGGGAAATGGGGAGAGGGTGGTCAGTGAATACAAAATATTAGAGAGATAGTAAGAATGGGATCTAGTTTTCTATAGTAATATAGGGAGACTACAGTTAACAATGAAGTATTGTGTATCTTTGAATAGCTCATCAAGATGATGTTGAATGTTCCTAACACAAAGAAGTGACAAACGTTTGAAGTGATGGATATACTAAGCACCCTGATGTGATCATTGCATACAGTATGAATGTACCCAAATATTTCATTGTACTCCATAAATATATACAATTATTATTCATCAATTAAGAAAAGTAAAAAGAGGGCCGGCCCGGTGGCGCACTGGATAGTGCGCCGCTTGGGAAGCGCGGCGGCGCTCCTGCCCGAGGGTTCGGATCCCACATACAGACCGGTTCCCGCTCACTGGCTGAGCGAGGCGCGGGAGCAACGCCGAGGGTTGCGATCCCGTTGCCGGTCCCCGGTCCGGTGCGGGGGCAACACTGAGGGTTGCGATCCGTTGCCGGACACGGAAAAAGACAAAAAAAAAAAAAAAAAAAAAAAAAAAAA